AGAAATAGAATATAGCCCTGTATTAGGATGGAAGAAAGCACCCCCCAGGTTGATAAGAAGATTAACAATAAGCCTCTGAATTTTTATGAGTTAAAACTAATAGTTGGAGAGGAAAAGAGGGAAAATAGACACAGGATCTTATAACTGTCAAAATAAGTCTAATAATTTACACTAGTGGAGAGGCAGGGAACAAATGTAAGTTAATAGCCCCTCTTGGGATATTAGCTGCAACAACAGAACACGGCTTGCTCCAGGAATTAAAATGAATTCATTCATATTCAATAAGATGTTATTCTCTTGGAAACAGTGGGTCAGATTCTCCTCTCACATGCACCCACATAGATTAATGAAGTTGCACTAGCTGGAAACAACCAGATAGATATGAGAGGAGAATCAGGTCTGCTACCTAACCCCAGTCCAGCCCCTGTGGCAACACGACTCCTCTCTGCAAGTCAAGGCTCCTCCACTCTTGTATCTAGAGACAAATACCTCTATGTGGCCAAAGAACATTATTAAGAATTATTTTAACAATCCAATCAATAAATGTATTCTTTCTTATTAACAATTTTTTTTTAAATCTTTTTTTGAAGAATGAGGGGTAGCAATAATTTTTTTAAAAAAGACTAATGTTGAAAAGTGTTTCCCAAGAAGAGTGGAAGCCAGTTCGAGAGGTAAATATCATTAAACAAATTATCTGTTTAGCCTCCTCTAATTATATTGGCTAAACCAGGGGTTTTCAACCTTTTTTAACAAATGCACCCCTTCAGTCTCAAAGTTTCAGCTAATGTACCCCTTTATATTTTTTTCTTGTTTTTAAAGGGGGGGGGCCCACAGATCGAGGCCCCTCCCCCACTGCCTGCTCCAAGGCGCGCGTGCACACGCTGGTACAGAGCTGATGCCGGGGCACCAGAATCGGGCATAGCTGGTTGCAGCCAGCCCCGGCTCTGGGGAGCTGCTGCCAGCCGGGAGCCCGGGCTGTTCCCAGCAGGCAGCTAGGACGCTGCATGCCCTACTGGGAGCAGCCCAGGCTCCAGCAGTAGCTGCTGACAACCACAGAGCCCAGGCTGGGGGGCAGGGGCAGCAGGGCTGGGAGGCAAGGGGCAGCAGGGCTGGGGGGCAAGGGGCTTTGGGTGGCAGCAAGGGGCAGCAGGGCTGGGGGGCAGTGGCTTTGGGTGGGGGCAAGGGGCACAAGCAGGACATCCTGCCATGTACCCCCGCCCTCATTTTGTTTTTCTGGCATGCTGGCACTCCGCCACCTTCCAAAGTAGGCATTACTTGGCACTCCAGCCAAAAAATGTTGCCTACCCCTGGTCTATGGGTACTGGTCCCCCCCGCAGCAAGGGGCAGCAGGGCTGGGGGGCAGTGGCTTTGGGTGGGGGCAAGGGGCACAAGCAGGACATCCTGCCATGTACCCCCGCCCTCATTTTGTTTTTCTGGCATGCTGGCACTCCGCCACCTTCCAAAGTAGGCATTACTTGGCACTCCAGCCAAAAAATGTTGCCTACCCCTGGTCTATGGGTACTGGTCCCCCCCCTCGCCCCACCCACTCTCCTCCTCACTCCTCTGTCCTGCTTGCCCTGTCATCTTCTGGTTCCTGTTGGGACACTACAGGGCTTCATTTCTCTTCCCCCCCGCCCCTTCACTGCAAGACTGTGTCCAACCCTGCACTAAACAATAATCAGTAAACTAACTGGTTATCACTGGACTTATCAATTAAATGATTAACCATTTAACCTTTCATATCCTTAAAGCCAATACAAGGACATCACTGGGGAGCGGGAGTCACTATTTGGGGTTGAAAGAATATTGTTAAGAGGTGCACTTCGTATGACGTGTGGGCTTATGAGATGCCCCTGCTACTGTATTCAAATTGTTTTTTTAATATTAAAAATCTTGGGTTAGACACAGTAAACAAAAGATAGGAATTTTTTTTTTTTTTAAAACCTCCTACCATCTGGCAAGTCACACATTCAGCTTAGTTCAAGCATCTTTTCTTTGTAAACATAAAACTGCTGAGCTACTTGGTTCTATAAAATTGTCTTATGCCAGAGGGGAGGATGTCCCACACTTGGCATCATCTTAAATTCCCTTTTTATTCCCGTATTATCATCACTACTCCAGATTCTCCCTCAAACCAAAAAGGCCCTTCATATGACCTGGGAGAGCAACTAAAGCAATTTTTTCCAACAACCCAAGAAACCTCACCTTGAATGATTTTGTCAGCAAGACTCAGAATGAACTGCAGAAGATCTCACTGAACACAGGACCTATTCCAGAGGTCACACAATCATAGAAAGTTAGGGCTGGAAGGGACCTCAGGAGGTCATCTAGTCCAACCCCCTGGTCAAAGCAGGACCAGCCCCAACTAGATCACCCTAGCCAAAGCTTGTTAGCTGGGTTTTGAAAACCCCCAAGGATGGAGCTTCCACCACCCCTCTGGGTAACCTGTTTTACTACCCTCCTAGTGAGAAAATTCTTCCTAATATCTACCCTAAACTTCCCTTGCTGCAACTTGAGACTGTTGCTCCTTGTTCTGTCATCTGCCACCACTGAGAATAGCCTAGCTCAGGGGCGGGCAAATATTTTGGGTGGAGGGCTGCTTACTGAGTTTTGGCAAGTCATTGAGGGCCATATGACAGGCAGCCAGGGGCAGATAAATATTAATTTTCTAAATTTTTTAGGGGCCCCGTGGGCCGGATAGAATGGCCTGGTCAGCTGTATCCAGCCTGCGGGCCACATTTTGCCCACCCCTGGCCTAGTTCCATCCTCTTTCAACCCCCACATCAGGTAGTTGAAGAATGCTATTAAGTCTCCTCTTAGTTTCCTCTTCTCTAAAATAATAAGTCCAGTTCCCCTAGTCTTTCCTCATAAGTCATGTCCCCCAGCCCCTTCACCACTTTCGTTGCCCTCCATTGGACTGCCTCCAATTTGTTCAAATCCTTTTTGTAGTGGGGGGCCCAAAATTAAACACAGCACTCCAGATGTGGCCTCACCAGTGCTGAATAGAGGGGAAGAATCACTTCCCTTGACTTCCTAGCAATACACCTACAAAAGCCGCCCAGTATGCCATTAGCCTTCTTGGCAACTAGGGCACACTACTGACTCATACACAGCCTATGCTGGGATGCAGGGGGACTCTGATTTAACTTGAACCATGAAGGGGTCTGGGACAGAAGTTTCATAAACCAGTTTGACCTAAATCAGTTAAGTCTGATACTACATTCAACCAGATTTATCTTAAACCAGTTTCAGCCATTTTGAAACTGGTTTATATGTACTGAGCTTCTGTTCTGTTACAGGTTTAAACCAGTTTCTGAAGACTTAAACCAAGGTATGTGTAACTTCTGTCCCTAGCCCTAAAGGATCATCCACACACAGCAGCAGTAGAGTGCTCAGTCAAATAGTCAAAGAACAAGTCCCACTCGTATGTCTTAAGTCCACGCACATCGACTCTGGAAATGAGCTACTGAGGAGAAAATAGTACAGAGATGGGCACCAGTATACATGCTAAGGCAGACAGACAAGACAGTAGCAGGAGCTGCTCTGAATGGCTGCCTAAGGCAGACAGCTTTGCAGAAGGCAATAGCTTCTCCCGTTAGCTTCTACAATGAAGAAAAGCAGATAAGGGTTGGAAGGAAACATAAGAGGGCTGTCAGAATGAACATGGCAGGGGGGCATGAAAGGTTCTCAAGGCACCCCCAGGGTACCACAGTACCTTGGTTGACAATCACTGTCACAGCAATTCAAAGCATTATTATATCCCATTAATAATCCCTTTGAAAGTATTTTGCATGGTTATACACCTGGGTCAGGCACCTTTTAATGGTAATATAAAGAAAAGCAAATTAAATAAAATAATCCAATCCCCATAGTAGGCAACTTCTGTTTGCATCAGATAATCCATCTCCATCCTGTCTTTTAGTGCCAAGTGATAGACATATTAACTATAATGATGATGAATGCTGAGGAACATAAAAGCTTACTCAGGTAGTTGAATGGTGAAATAGCCATTTGAAGTGGTGCACATAAAAAACAAAGGATTCACTCAATACCCAGTTACTGACAACATGATCAACATCTTATGCCTTATTAGCCAAGCAATAATATACCATTTTATGACAGATACTTCCAAAGCTCAGTCAGATATATTCCACAGATTAAGAAATCTTCGTTTTTCCTTTTAGAGGATTAGTATACATGTTAGGCTGAGACTTCAAATGGCCTGACTTTCAAAATCTGTTGGGCCAAAATGCTTGTGCAAAGGTGCAAATGCAAATGTAACTGCCTGTGAGCTAGTTGTGCCTTTACTGCATGTATAAATTGAGCAACTTCAAGTTTGAACTACCAGTTTGATAAGTAACTACCTACCTACCTGCACATGCTTTCTTTCAGTTCACTTGCAACACTAGTGTAATTGCACAAAGATGTTAGGTGCATCACTGGATGTTCCTTTCTAGCATGTATAACAGCACATGACTATCTTGTGAATGGTCACAAACTACTTCAAGATCGTTTCAGGCTGGACATAAGGAAGAACTTCTTTACTGTCCGAGCCCCCAAGGTCTGGAACAGCCTGCCACCGGAGGTGGTTCAAGCGCCTTCATTGAACACCTTCAAGATGAAACTGGATGCTTATCTTGCTGGGATCCTATGACCCCAGCTGACTTCCTGCCCTTTGAGTGGGGGGCTGGACTCGATGATCTTCTGAGGTCCCTTCCAGCCCTGATGTCTATGAAATCTATGAAATCTTTGACAATCAGCACTGAAAAGAAACCATGGATGGCACAGTCATTCAGAATGAGGAATGTTCAGTGCTTTTTATCTAATGAGCGAGAAGGATGGGTTGTGGTAAATTTTCATAATATTTAGGTTGATCAATCTTGGTATGGAGGGAAACTTGTTTTTATACTGTGCTGAATTTACTGAAACTGACTATTCAATGCATCTATGTCATAAAATGTCAATACAGTTATGCATTTCTATTCTAAAAGCACCATTACCTGCTGATCATCAGGCGTCCATATACCACAGGTGATCTGACTCTCCAAATTTATCTCTGACGACCAGTGTCTCTGTCCACTGACTGAACCAACCAGCACAAATCCATCTCTATAGGAGATTAGTGCTTGAGTCCCATCATGGCTCCAAGTAAAGTCGCTCACCTTAACACATAAAGGAACAAAAAAATTAGACATAATTCATGCAGTGGTTTCCACATTATTTTAATTAAGACAGATTTGCATAGTATCAGACAAAGTGACTCCTAGAGAAAGTGCTATACATTTAAAAGTGTGGTATTGATGCCTATACTGTTCTGGTAAAATGTTAGTATGTTTTTCTCTCCTTTTATAACAATTCTGTACTTTTGTGGATGCTCTCCAATCCTGAAAACACAACAACATTAATGTTTGATATTTTAATCCTACTTTTCTTCTCAAGTTCTCAAAGTGTTCTTGCAAAGGTTAGGTTATCCCTGCAAGTATTTTTATCCATTTTATATCTGGAGAAGTTTAACATGGGTTTAATGCAAGGTATCATAAAACTTGCTTAGAATGCATTTTGTATAACATGTGACTAAAAATCAAAAAGGTTCTGAGAGTACAGCAACAGGGTTAAGAAATATTACAGCCCTGCCTGTGAAATTCATCTATACCCTAAGAAACAGCAACGAGAAGTGGATTCACTGAGAAGACACAACTCAAGAATTTTCTTTATTGTGGTCCTTCCTGGGTGAAAATGCTTGGGGGCAATAAAAGCCTCAAATAAGACCTTAAAATAAGTTATAAATAGGATGTGAGCAAGTGCAGCGGCTTGTCCTGGTTCTCTGTCTAGTGATACATATGTTAAAATCCAAGATAAGCCAGACAGAGCAAGAGCCTCTGTGACATTACAATTCAGTAAGAGTTTTTTTGTTGTTTGTTTGTTTTTTTAAAGTATACATCTCAGCTTTTCACCCTCTTCACACTGGGCCTCTTACCTGCTCATTCTTGATAGAAGAGAATATTTGCATACTAACCTGTGCCCCACGGTCATTTACAAGTTCTACAGACCATCTGCCTTCATACTGAATCCAAACAAATATTCCTCCATCTGCATCACAGGTTGCCAGTTTCTGGAATGGCTCATTCCATCTCACCAACACAACCTAAAGAAATTGCAAAGAAATGCACCATCACCAAAACTGTACACAGTGCTAACGAGTGCTTTGCAAGAGTCAATTAACTAATACTGCAAAATAAACAATGTCAGTTTAAATTCTAAATCAGATCTCTAAAACAGTAATTTTCAGCACATCAGGCAGTACTCAAGCACAGCTGGAGTCATTTTATTTTGACTGTCAAACAACTCAAAAATTCCCCGGACTGTTAAGGTCTTTTTGCAAAGCATCAGATACGTCTGAAACAAGCAAAAAAAAAAATGCTGCACGTGGCAGCCATTCTCCACCTTTTTGGAATTAGATCATCCCTTGTTAGACTCAAGGCACTCCTCAAAAATGCCAACTCTTAACTTTTACTCATTTTCAAACTATGTAAAAATAGCAGAGTAATTCTTCTGTTGCAAAGAACTCAGAAAAACCACAAATCAGAATGTCCTGACAGCATGGATTACTACTCGAAATCTCAGGGTTTATCTTGTGTATCATGTGTAGAAGTTTGCACAGCTAACAGTGCTAATAATTGTGTGGCATCCTGTTGCACCCTTAAAAGGATCTCATGGCATCCTGGCTGAGAATCATTGCTATGTGGCAGTCCAGAACTCCACTACAGAAAAAGCAAACAAACCTAGAGGTCCTAGTACACCCACAATCCACCTCTCTGAAACCACTTCCCCACCATCACCTCAACCCAATCACACTAGGCTCCTATAAGCGTCAGTGCAGCCTGTTCCAACACGCTGGAAATCCAGCATATTGGAGCAGACTTGATTAATCGAGTCTGCTGGAGCACAGAAATTGATGTGTCCAGCAGCCTTTGGCATCATGCGTATCAGCGTCCTCGCACTGAAAATATGGCGGTAGGGAGCTTTGAAATAAAACATGTCCAACGAGCTTTAGTCCAAAGTGCCCTGATGCCTTTTTTCAGTGCAGGGACACATGGGGATGTTGATACATGTGACACGTGGGTGTTTTTAATTAGCACAGCTTGCTAATTAAAGCACCGGCGCCACATCCCAATACACATGTAAAAATGCCCACTTATTTCAATGGAGTCAGGATAGCACTACCATATTTCCAGTTCCAAAGAAGAGGACACGTGTCATGGCGACACCTCACTCCCAACCCACAGTGCCCTGGATCTGCCTGTGTCCCTCACTCCCAACCTGAAGCCCTTCATCCCTGCTGCTGCCCCTCACTCCTGACCTGCAGACCCCTGACCCTGCTGGTGCCCCTCACTCCTGACCCTCAGCCCTCTGGTGCTGCCATAGCTGGCCCACAGTCCCAGCAGTGCCCTTCACTTCCCCCCCACCCTAGCCCTCCCACAGCCCTGGCAGTGCCCTTCACTCCCGACCTGCAGCGTCCCTACTCCCCCCAGCTCTGCTGCAGAAGGCCTCCAGCTGCCCCCATCCTGACCAGGCCAGAACTTGGCAGCTAAAGCCACTCCAGCTCCTGTAGGGAGCAGCAAAGCAAGCCTGGCCCTGGTGTGGGCTGAAGGGAAGAGGAGGGGACACCTGTAGAACCCTCCACCCCAGGCTGGGGCTCCTATGCTGCACCAGGCGGCCTGGCTATGCCTCCCCATGCCCCAGGCAGCATCTTCCAGGTACCCCACCCCTGAGAGCACGGGCACTGGCTCTGGTGCCACTAGCCCGGCCACGCAGCTCCCCACTGTCCCGAAGGACCCCACCCCAACTCCCTTCCCCTGCTGGAGAGGCAGCTGCCACAGCCCTTGTGCCTAGATACCATTCCCCATCTCCAGCAGGCACCCGCCCTCCCTCATGCACCCATCCCCTCCACCCCGCAACTCAGACAGTCCTCAAGACCTGGCCCTCTAACCCCTGTCCCCCATATACTTACCTGTATCCAGCTGCCAGGGCTGCTCCCTCCCCCCTGCCTGGCTGCATGCCAGCCGTGTGTGTGTGTGTGTGTGCGCGCGTGCACACACGCGCAGAAGCACATGGTGCCCCTGCCTCCAGTCACTCTCCCCTGCTCCCACCAGCAGAAAGGAGCAAAATCCCAGACATTTGTTCAGCTTTCAAAAAAACACCTGGATGAAGATCGGAGGACCCAAAATGAGGATACATTCGGGAAAACCCGGATGTTTAGTAACCTTAGGTCAGGACCACTTATAATAGGTACCAACTATGCAGTAAAAACAGTCTAGTGCAGGGGTGGGCAAAATGCAGCCCGTGGGCCAGATACAGCCCACCAGGCTCTTCTATCCGGCCCGCAGGGCCCCCAAAAAGTTTAGAAAATGAATATATATCTGCCCCTGGCTGCCTGTCATGCAGCCCTCAATGGCTTGCCAAAACTCATTAAGCAGCCCTCTGTCCGAAATAATTGCCCGCCCCAGTCTAGTGTCTGTAATTAATCAATATGAATTAAACATGGATGCTGCTTTTTTTTTTTTTTTTTTTTTGCTACTGCATGTATTAGGAGTCAAGAGTTTATGTGGGTTCTTCCTTTTCACAGAGAAATCTAGATACTTCCCACAGAATTTAACCAAACCAAAATCAATCAGGACTTAGCTCTCATTTATAATTAGCAGGAAGCCAATATGGAAGCCTCAAATACATAGATGAAATGAACCCGGCCATTATAGTGATTCAAACAGAGCTTAGCCTTAGAGTTAAAAAAAACCCAAAAAACCTTCTGCTGATGACCCTTCACCCTTTTTTCCTAATACAGTATTCTTTCCAAAGTGCCAGAATAATTCACATAATCTTATATGTGTGTATGCAGATACATATGTGTGTGCACCCACAAACACACACCACTTTATAACAGCCTAATACAGGAAAAAATGAAGAAAAACAATATTAAGTCATCAATTATGGCAGTGTAATTTTAAATTATTGTACCACCACCCAGATCCTAAGTTGATATTTGCTGAAATGTTAGATGACTTTCACAAATCCAAATAATCACTGTTCATTAAACACACACACACACACACACACACACACACACACACGGCATGTAAGCAGACATGCACACATATACCAGGACTGTTTCCTGAAATTCATTCTGCTGCTTCTTTAAATTGAATTATACTCTTTAAGAGCCTGAGGCTGCATGTACTGCTTTTTACAGAATCGGGAGCTAGATATGCAAGATGGGACCTGAATTTGCTGGCTGAATCAAGCTCATATACCAGTTATTAGGCCGTGAGGCTTTAGATGTTATTCAGTGTAACTTGCCTTTCCTAAAGGAACCATCTTTTAAATACTGAAATAGCTGACCAGAAATTGTCTCTTGAAAAACCACATCAGGTGCCTGTGGAAAAGGCTGGCTTTATGGGGAGCAGTAAACATCTCCAAAAATCAGACCTACACTGTGATTGGGCTTTTCATAGATAAAACAGAAAAAACTGCCAGGGGAATTTAGATACAGTACATAAACTGCTAAAATAATGTTATAGTTCTTATCTAATCTCATAAAAGCCTTACTTAAAGATGCCATTGCATCTTACCACCTCACAGCTATGCTTGCCTCCTTTAAGGATTTAAGAAATATGTATGATTTTTTACAAATTGTGCTTACTTGTCTGGCCTGGTGATATGAGTTAAGGGCAAAGTGGCAAAATTTTGCTTGAAATATCTTGAGTCTTACCCATTTTAAATAGGAATTTAGCAAAGATATCTTTCTCTCCTTTCTGCATTATAGGGGATGTGCAAATTGAACAGATTAGGTGCAAATCATCTTGTAATTGAATTTCATGTGTAGTTTCTTTACATGTGATGGAAAATCCAAGGGTTCATTCAATTATTCTTACAAATAGATTAACTAAGTAAACATATCTTTTACTAGGTTTTTAGGTTTTCCATGCTAGGCTAAGCATTCCCTCCCAGGCCATCGTGATTGTATTTAAATTAGTAACTTTATTCCCAAATCTCAGCCTGGTGTGAGTTTCAATGGCCAAAATGTCAAAGAGTTCCTGATGTTCAGAATCATATTCCATTCCTATAATCAGAACTGAAAGCAGGACAATGACTTCCCATGCCTTTTGCCAAGTTGCTCAACAAGAAGTTATTTTTGAGACATTTTATAATTCACCTTTATAAAACACAGTGCAGGTGTTCTCATTTTACAAGGTCATTTGGAAGATATTTATCTCATTCAAATTTAACATCTGACCAAAGGTGCTGATTCCACAGCTACCCAAGTATCTCCAGTTTCATTTTAGGCAGACAAGGTTCCTTGGGTGAATTTGATATCTTTTATTAGACCAACCCAAATGGTCGGAGAATAGTTATTAAGCAAGCTTTCGGGTTCAAAAACCCTTCGTCAGGCTCAGGAAGCTGCAGCAGTTGGTGTGCGCTCTTCCTGGATGGAATGAAAAGTAAACAAGCCAGGGGCTGGGCTGGGCTGGGGAGTCAGTTGCCAGGCAGATTATAATGTATCAAAAATCCAACATCTATGTTTAGTCCCTGATCTCTAGTATCCAGCAGGTTGATGAAATGGAGCTCATAGGCTCGTCTCTGGGATGTGTTGTGTAAATTTCCCTTGAGGATCAGGACTAAGAGATTGGAGAGAGAGTGGCCCTCCTGTGAGAAATGTGCCCCCACCGGTAATTGGGTGTTTCTGTCTTTGATGGATTTCCGGTGTGCATTCATTCTGGTGCGCAGTTGTTGTCTGGTCTCTCCTACATATCTTCCATCAGGGCATTTGGTGCATTGGATGAGGTATACTACATTCCTGGAGGTGCAGCTGTAAGATCCTGGGATGCTGATGGCTCTGTTGTGGGGTGTAGTAATAGTGGGGGTGGTGGAGATGTGGGGGCAGGTTTTGCATTTCTTGTCTTGGCACGGTTTCATTTTATGCGCTTCTCATATTTGCAAAAGATGTTTAAAAAAAAGGGACAAAACAGTGTCCAGGCATTAAGATAAGTTTTAAATCAGCTATGGCTGTAAAATGCATGAAAACAAACTGAGGATGAAATCCACCCCTGTGCAGAGCATCACTACAAGGCCAACACACCCCACTCGCAG